CAGCCCTCGGACTTCCAGTAACAGGTCTGCAGGGCGGGGCTCCGCTTCCTGCTCCCGGGGGAGGGAAGCCTGTCCCGCCGGGGATCTACCCCGGCCACCCCCGCGCCCCAACTTCCATCCTCAAATAGGTATGTGAAGGGAGAGCCCAGCCCAGGGAGACCTGGTTCCCCTGGGGGAGGCAGACCCGAGTCCTCCAGCCTGGGGGCCCCTCTAGAACACCATCCCTCAGGGCTCAGACTCCAGCTGGCTCCCAGTCCCCCATACCCAAATATCCACCCAAGATCTCTCGGGAGCCAGAAATACAGTGAGTGCCCTAACTCTTCTCTAAGGATAAGCGCTTCCCCCATCCCTCCAGGACCCCAAGTCCCCCCCTTTCCCTGCCCCTTGAGGTCTCCTGAATACAGGTCCCATCCCGCCTTGGGGGACTGATCACAGGCCCCTAGGCACACTGGTGTCCTCCAAGACGCTGTACTGCAGTTGTGCGGGGACCAGAGCTTCCGAGGGCCTACAGCTCAATTTCACGTTCTGCCCTCACTGTCTTGAAGTTCTTGATTTCTGAAAGAGTCCTGCAAATATTGTAGCTGATCCTGCCCCCAGGCCCCTCTGAGCGCAGTCTCTAAGCTGTTTCTTATTTTGTTCTCTGCCTCCAGGGAATGTAGGCATGCCGACCCTAACCTCTGCCCTCTGAGACTCCGCTGTGTTCTCTCCCCGCCCTTTGGAGACTTGGCTTTTAGCTCCTGAGTGAGTCCCTAACCTCTTGGGGGTCTAGATGCTGTAAGACTCTGGCTCCTTATGAGGAGCTAGAAGTCCAAACTTGCAACCTCTGCTTCCTTGGGGACCCAGACTTTGGGTCCCCTGCCCTGCTCCCCGCCCCCTCACTAGCCTCTCTCGTGGGTGTGAAGTGGGGCCGGTGGCTCAGGCTGGGGCTGGGTCAGCTGCCCGTTCCAGTAAAGTCTCAGCCCCAGCGGAAGGGGTTAAGGTTAGAGGGAGCGCTAGGAGGGGGAGGCTGCGAGTGAGTGACGGCTGCTGACGTGGGGGAGGCAGAGCAGCTGGGCTGCGGTCAAGTTCTGCGGGAAGGGATTTCCCCCAGCCGGCAGCTGAGGCAGAAGTGTTTGCGTTGGGGAGAGGAGAGCCGGCGGGGGGAAGGCGGTGGGGTGAGGAGCTGGGGCTGGAGATGGGTGGGTCGGTGGCCTCTTGCTTGCACTCCGCTTTCTCAGGCCACAAACAGCTTGCCTTTGGGGGCAGATACAAATTAAACCTGTTTCACAGATAACCCCACCGGGTACCCAGAACTGGAGGAAACCAGCTTTTCCTGAGCCATTGATATAGTGCAGGCACTTTCTCCTGCTTGGGCTCACACCGTGGATGGCCCGCAACCACGAGGGAGCTGGCTTCAGACACCAGCTACTCCCATGTATTGAGCGCTCCCCGCTTGCCCAGCCAGATTCTGTGCACCGCGTGTGTGCGTGTTGCACTGAATCCTCATTGTGACCGGTGCTCGTACAACACTCGGTCTCCAAACAGGGACACTGAGGTTCAGAGAGACCAAGTCCAGGGGTGAAGTGGACCAGTGATAGAGTCCCCCCGCACCCCCCAGCTCATTTCTCTGCAGAAATGGACCTGCTCATGTCTACCTGTCATTTCCAGTCCCCAGTCAAATCCCACATCAGCACTTTATATAAATGATCTCATTTCTTCCTCACAGACTCTCACACACGTATGGATCCTGTTTTTACAGACAGGGCAACTGAGACACAGAGGAACAAGAAAGTGACCAGCTGAGATTCAAACCCGGGTCAATAGAATAATCCTCACGGTGGACAACTGTATCTCGTGCTTCCTGTGTGCCTGGCCCTCCTGTGCAGAATTTCTCAACAGCCCCGCAAGCATGTTCTTCAAACTGTGGGTGATAAAGCCTGGGGGTTGTGGAATCGGTGTAGGGAGCGGTCAAGTTAACTTAGTAGGCTACAACCAGGAAACCATGGGGCAGAATAGACTAGAAAATATCAGAGTGGATCCCATGGAGCAAGGGTGAATATTGTTTCATTTCATGGAATTTTATTTTATTTCGTTTTAAAACATTTATTTATCTATCTACTTGTGATGGTCAAGCCACCAGGTTCAGGATTCGAACCTCAGTCAGCTGTGTGGGAATCCAGTACCTCAACTACCATGCCACCTGCTGGCCCCACATTTTATGCAATTTTAATTTCAAGTTGATGTGTGTGTGTTGAGGTAAAGTAATAGTAACAATAATATTAACACCTAGGAACACTCAGGCCAAAGAAATCCATTTCTCATCTTTGGATCGTGATAGAAAATGCGAACACCCCTGCTCCAAAAACAATCTTTGGAGGTAAGTGCTCTCAGGGTATCCATTTTTTCAGAAGAGGAAACTGAGGTTCAGATAGGGAGGGGCCTTGTTCAAGGTCACACAGCCAGTGAGTGGTGGAGATGGGATTCTAACCTAGGTCCCTCAAGCTGAGTGCCCATGTTGTGGAAGACTGGTCTCCCCACTCGGATTACGGGGCTGTCACTCACGTGTCTCCGTCCTCATCTGCGCGCGTGGCCATGGCGATGTCAGCCGACAGGGGATGTTCCATGGAGTACATCATGGGGTACAGGGGTGTAGGCAGGGTCAGCGGGGAGCCCATGGACGGGGTGGAGTACAGGGGCAGTAGAGGTCCTGGGCATCAGAGGACAGAGAAGGGACATGGGTGAGGCCAAGCCCGCAGACCCTCAACCTGACCCCCTCATCTTTGCTCCTGTAGTTATCTTTATCCCATGGTCACTCTTCATCCCATGCCTATTTTGCATCCCCCCCCCCAGGTTTTTGGCATAGGGTACACCTGAGCTTGCCAGAGAGGGACAGTGTGAGGGAAAGTGAGACATAAACCACTCCCTGGGGGATGATCATGCTGCAATCCCTTCTCCTCCTGGTATTTTGGGCACCCATGCATATATTTTTTCTTTTTTTGGAGAGGTTTTTGCTATAGGGCACATGCGCTCGCCAGACAGAGAGAGACAGAAAGCAAGAAATCACCCCCCAGGGGGGATGGCCACGCTGCAATCCCTTCTCCTTCATTCTCCTCTCGGAATCTTGGGCACGCACACACATGCGCCCGGCGTTAGTTTAAGCCACCGGGTCCGGGACTCGAACTGCGGTCGACTACGTGGGAGTCCAGCGACATTGCCATTGCGCTAACTGCTGGTTCCAACCCACGCATATTTTTAAGCAGCTGGGATTCGAACTGCAGTTCGCCATGTGGGAGTCCAGAGCCTTAACTACTATGCCACCTGCTGGCCTCTTTTGTGTCCTACACTGAGTCTTGAGACCCAAGACAGGGCTGGCCCTGTAGCTCAGGGGCTCAGTGCTACACATAGGAAGTTGGATGGGTCACCAGGAGTATTGAAAAGCACTCTATGCACCTAGGAATCTGGGGGGATGGAGGACTGGAGGAAAGGGGATTGAGGAGCGGCCAGGCCCTGTTGGGGAGTTCACTCTCTCCTGCATGTGCCCTTTTCCACAACCCTCTGCATTCCTCCCTTGGGCTCAGAAGATTCCTCTCCCAGCCCTGGCCACCTTCCTTGTCACTTACCTTTCATACATCTGACCCTTATCTCCTACCAGACAGATCCCCTATCAACGCCTGTTTACTGAGCAAACTTGTGCTGAGGGAGGTAAGGGATGGGTGAACTGGGTGTGGGGTGGGTGTGTAGTGGGTATGATGAGAGCGGATGATGGGAGGGGGTGGCACAGAAGCCTGTTCAGAGAACCATGGCTATAGGCAAATCCGTATCTGCCCATTACACAGAGGGAGAAACTGAGGCCTACACGCTCGCCCCGCGAGTGAGTAAAGGAGAGGCAGTGTCAGGCCTCCTGCTGCATAGCTGAGGTTCCGGCTGTGCGGATGGGATGAAGGTGCAGAAAATGGGTAAAGACCTGGGGGACACTAGAAGTGGGCTTTCTGGAGCTTTAGGGGTCACCCAGAGATGGTGAGGTGGCCACAGCTGTGGCGGGAGATGCCCCTTCCTTGAGATGAAGATGGAATGGGGAGAAGGGTGTATGACCTTCTCTTGTCACCATCACCCGCTGCTCCTTGGGGCCTCCCATTCCTGAACTCCCGAGTGTCCAGGTTCTTCTGTCTCCAAAACCATCCGTGGGGCCCTGAGGCCTTTGGCCTTGAGATCCCTGAAACCCTCACCTTGACTTTAAATCCTCCAGTCCTAACCCCCCTCCTTAGAACCCTCAGTCCCCAGCTCTCCAGGGCCACCTGACCTTGTGACCTCTGATCACCTGTGACCACACACAGCAGATGCCAGGTGCCTGGGTTCTTGGAGTTCTGACTTTCCTTGGGTCCTTGTGATCCCAACTATTGGGGTGCTGCAGCCTCAGCCAGCTCTGTCCTCCCGATTCCCCATGCTTTGCACAACTCCGAGACATGGACATGCTGGACCCCTCATATCCATATCCTTAGGACCCCGATCTCGGTTCCCTGACTCCCTTCAGCCTCATATCTGGAAACCAGGAGACCCCGTTTCTCCTGTACACATTCCTCAGAACCCTGGCTCTCTGGCTTCTTAGGAGCTGGTCCATCTGTGACCTTGGGATGCCAGGCTCTGCCCTAGGGTTTCCAGACCCCTTCATACTTCTGTGTGGCCACTTTCCTGGCTCCCCTTACCTGGGCTACTCAGCCCCCCAGCTCTGCCCCGCAAGTCACATGACTCTCAGCTCCCTGGGACCCTCACGTTGGTGCCCCAGGGCACAGCTCCCTGGCTCCTTGATGATCTCATATCTGCGTCTGTCTCTGCGACTTCAGGCTCCACTCCTGTTCCCCAGGTCCCCTGGAGCCCCGTCTATTACATTTGTGCACGGAGCTCTGGCTCCTGGCAATGGTGACCCGGTGCTCTGTGGGGCTCCCACCCGGCCCTGACCCGCTGGGGCCACTCACCAGGGTAGTAAAGCGCCTCCGGCCGGGCCAGGCCGGGCGGGGGGCCGGGGACCGCCGGCGCGT